CTTGAATAATTTAACATTCTCTTGGCATTATCTAGTTTGATTCTGTATTTGTGTTATTTATGCACATAATATATACATAAACATTTACATATTCAATACATCATCGTTCCAGGAATGGCTTCATACAGGTATGGAATATGTAGTAATACAGGAGTTTTCTTCTAGACCAAACCCACCTGAGAAAGGTATGCCTGCAGAAGATTAGATGCACATTTAAGTTAACAGAGAAGAACACTGGATGCTTCTGAGATACTGGCATGTTAAGTGGTTGTGACCACAGAAGTTATTGTGAACTTTACTTTCTGGTCTTATATGAAGAAATAGAAGAAGAGAATGTGACTTTTTAGGAAGGTTTTTTAGTATAATGAAAAGCTAGCTAGAAAATAATTCCCTCTTAGAAGAAACAGACTTAATCTCCTTCCATACTCATACTTCAGCAATAAAAGATTTAAACAAATCTCAGTAAATGAACTAAGGATGTGCTATTTTGGTTCATGTCATCTTATCAGGGGCTTACAGCTGATCTGTACTTCTAATGGAAACTAACCACTTCCATCCCCAAAGTCATCATATGATGATTAAGAATTCAGCGTAACCAATGCTGAACTTGTTTCACAAAGACCCACATGTAGAATGCAAAGCACTCAAAAATCCCTCTATGATTAACTGTAGAAGAGTCAGGAGGTTTGGTTACTCGTTTTAAACAGATTTCTTTACACTCTAGAACAGCATTCTGCAATGCTTCACAGATCATCAATTAAGCCAAGAAATCCAACACATCTGAGATGTGCAACACTACTCTGCTCACTGCTTCCTACACAGAAAACTCAATGAACACAGGAACTAAATGAGGTATTCTTAGATTATCTTTCTATAAGCCATAACACTCAAGTAGATAACACTAACATAACACTCATGGTACAACAGTTACAGACTCAAAGGAGTAACGGTCTCTTTATCCCCGAGCAAAGGAATATTTATGTGACTCATGACACCCAGTCAGAGAGCGTTTATTGAATCTGCATGGCACCAAGATTTAGAGCATACACATGTAAGAGACCAATAACCACAGGAAACAAGCAGCTAAACCTGCAGGCAAGGGAAAATGAGGCACTCGCAAAGCACAAAGGAATAATCACAAGGCACACCACAATAGAGTAAAAGATGCACTGGCAGCCATGCCTGTGCAATTCATTTAAAATCATTGCTCTCAAAGCTTTAAAACTGCTATATTTAATTTTTCGTGGAAGCAAAGTATTACAGTGGGAGGAATGGTGAAGCAACAACCCTGCAAAGGTGAGTTTTCAGAAGACAGCAGAGTCATTCTCACAGTTTGGGTCACCAAAGGGGATGGTCTCACTCCTATTGTGGAGCTCCTACTGTGTGTGCTTGCTTCAGTTCAGCAGCCCCACCAGGCCTTGGGGCAGTATGGAGGAGGAGAGGCACAGGGGATTGTCTGAAAACTGAACCAGGTCACACTGACTGCTGGTCAGAGCCAGGTAAGGAGACAAGACTCTTATTAACCAGGCCAAGCTGTCCTGCATGTCTTCTGCCTTTGACTGCTTGAAGCTGGCAAAACTCTGTGCTGTTACAAGAAGTAAAACAAGAACATGCTGGTTCCCTACACCAGAGCTGAAGCTCTAAACAAAGCAGATCAGGAAGTTCACCTAGCTAAGTACTTCCTCCTCTACTCCTTTTCTCCTCTATTCTGGGTTACTTTCAGCCAGGTCAGTTCCTCTACCTGGCACACAAAGACTGTACTAACACCTAGCAAGCACAAACCCTGCTCTCCAAACGCAGGCAGGCACTACACCCATTGCAAATAGCATGGCTGCAGCATCTCATCAAGTGGGACAGCCACATTGTGACCGAGTCTTTTCTCCCTTCTGCACTCAACCTTGCAGCTGTGTAACAGCGAGGTAAGCTGATCTGAATTTATTCACCCTGCAGCAAGCAGCTACTAAGTGTGACTCAAAGAAAGCTGAAGACAAACTCTTTTGGAAAAAGCCCATTGTTGCAGCAGCTTGCATAATAAATATAATATCAATTCTCTTATTTCAAAGGATATTTGTGTGCACATTCAGTTTTGGTGGTTTTTTTGTTGTTTTTTGTTTTTTTTTTGCTTTATCAGCTTTGCAGTATCACAGGTTTTTATTCTGTTAGCAAACCTTTAGGTTTCTGTAAACACGTATGTAAGGAACTCTGGAAAGGATATTCAGATTAAGTTGTCAGGACTGAAAGCTTTAGTTACACTGACACTCGCATTGTCCTACTAAAACTTTGAAACAAACAAATTATCACAATTAATAAGTTTTCACACTACAAATTTACTCCCAAGCAACCTCACCTTGCCTGGAACTAAATAATCACTAATTAAAGCTAATATGATAATACAAGAGGATTTGGCTTTAGGTTTTTTTCGTATTCTGTGTTCTTCAAGTTGCTGGTTCAGCTTCTTACAAAGGCAATGAAATATTTGACTTATCCCATATTGTCTTGCTATCAAGCTAAACAAAATTAATTCAGGTTAAATTTAACAGGCTACCAGGAAGGCCTGACCAAGCCATTACAACTAATTTAAATTACTCTACATTGATACAGAAAGGCAGTTCTCAGACCACGATTTTCAGAAAGGAACACACTTCTTTTCAAAGTCTGCAGTGCCACATCATCAGATATACTGGATTCACTCCATCCTCATAGTCTGCATGATTTGGAAGTGGACAGCAATTCTTCAAAGAAAAATCCTTTGTTGCTTTGAGACTGTGGTTGGTACCATTCAATGTATGCTTTGAAACCAAAGGCTGATGACTGAAGGGTAAGGCTATGAACAAGATACGGATTTGATTAACTGCACCTTGATAAATTTTACCTATCATTTTTCAAACTGATAAAATTCTAGTATGTGGCATCATATCTTACACCAACAATATGCAGGCACAAGTGAAAACTGCTGAAAGCAGCTTGAAGCAGCATGGAAGGAAAAAAAAAGCTTACTCATTTATCTAAGGGTTTATTTGGATTTAGGATCTGTTTCACTTCCCCAATGGTGCCCGCTGAGCTGCATGCCACAGCTGTGTGACAAAAGAGCACGTGCAGGCAGCTGTGCCAGCCTGACTGCTGCCCCACAACCATATCATGCCACTCCACCTCCCTGCAGGGGAATGCTCCCATCCCCCTGCCATGGGGAAGCAGGTGCTCGCATGAGAGCTCCCTGACCCATTTCAGCCAAAATAACACAGGTTAGCACACCTTACAGTAAAAACCCCAAGAGCCAGGATAGCTGCTGCAGCAGGGAAGGGACACATCCCCCACAGCTGTAGTGCTGGCAGCTGAGATCCATCCAGACTGCCCAAAGAGCAAACACGCAAGTTTAACTTCACTTTGCTCCACTCCTTATACACAGCTGAGCACCCTATTTTAAGCAGAGGGGCTGAGTTTTTAGTTTTGGTTTCTTTCCCCCAGAGATTTTCACCCAGACATTAGTTGTAGGTTACGCATCTTAGTGCAGCTGCTTTCCTTCACAGGCTGTAAGGGAACTACAGCAACCTCCCTGGCTGCCTAAGTTTTAACTGCTCAACACAAAGAACACACAATAAAGCCAAATGAAAACTGAGTATCAGTATAGAGAACAAGCAAACTAATCTTAACCGTGTAAATATTTAGACTTCTCATTAGGGAAAAAAGCCTAGTGAGCACTGACTAGTATGACAGCTTTAAGTATGTTTTGTTTTTCACAAGAGCCCTTCTGCAGCGTGCTGCACTATCAGTCCCACCTTCGGCTAGCCCCTAATCCTCAATATTTCAATACAGAGCACAGTTGTGAAATAAATCCCATTCGAAGTTAATTCTAGAGGTCACCCAGCCCAACCTGCTTCCTGCTAAAATAGAGCCAGCTTCACAGACACACGCACACACACAACCTTCAGGCTGTGCCCCAAGAATACAGGGAAAAAGTTAAAGCTCCATGATTTATCTCTTGGCCTCTCGTGGAAAGGTTCCTCATCTGCTGCTGCAGAACGCGACAGGCTGAGCAAGCAGCACGCAGACACGGCGCTGCGCAGAACCACAGCAGCCGGGGGCTGCGGGCCATCGGGTGACCGTGCGTCCCTCACAGGGGGCACGGGGCTGACCGCTGTCACGTGACAGCGTCCGCTGCCGCCCAGGAGCGGGGCCGCAGTGCCGCTGGAGGAAGGGCTGCAGACGGCGGCAGTCCAACGCCTCACAGCTTACTGCTGCCCTCAAGGAAGCGTCCCCTGTGCTGTTTCGGACCGGGTCATCTCACGGCACAACCACCAGGGAGAGGCAAAATAATCTTTATAGTTACTTATAGGCGGGAAAGCGCGTTACATGAAGAACGCATCCAAAATCACGAAGCCCAGAAGCGAGATGCACCAGGGGAACGCAACCTCCCCAGCGCAGTACGGCGTTCTGCTCCCCTTACCCAACGGATCCTTTATCCCTTCTCGCACCACGCCGACCCCAAAGCCGCGGGTTCCCTCACCCCGCATCCAGCCCCCACTCCCGCAGGGCAACCGAGCGCGGCGGTGCCACCGCAGGGAAGCCGCGCAGCGCAGCGCGCTCACACCTCGCACGGACCGCCCGTGCCCAGCGGCGGCCTCTCCCCGCCCCCACCCCGGCCCGGACTCGCCCCGCACAAGATGGCTGCGCGCCGCCGGCGCTGGCGGCGGGAGGGGCCGATATCGAGCGCGAGGCGGCTAGCGCCCGCGCGCCCGCCGCCTCTCCCTCAACGCAGCGCGGCGCGGGGCCGCAGGCAGCGGGAAGCCGTGGCGGCGCGGCCCGGATGCGGGCGGCACAAGCGGTTCCTGTAGGTGAAAGGTCGGGGGGCGCGGGGCCGCCGCGGGACGGGGCGATGCCTGAGGCGGGCCGGGCGCCGCGCCCCGCGGAGGAGGCGGAAGCGCGGCCGGGCGGCAGCCGGCGGGCGGGAGCGAACGCGCGCGCGGCAGGACGGGCAGGGCCGCAGCCGGGACGCGGCTCACCTGGCGGCTCGGCGGCGGCTCCGGCGCTTTATTTGTCGGCGGCGGCTCCGGCTCCGGGGGTCAGAGTTCGTGGCCCCGCCCCGCCCCGCCGCGGCGGCTGCGCCTGCGCACGGCGAGCCTGGGAGGGGCGGGGGGCTCGGCCGGCCCCCGGCGGCCGGTAACGGCGGCCGAGGGGAGGGGCGGCCTTTGTTTGGCGGCGGGGCGCCGTGCTGCCGCGCGGGACGCGAAGGCGGGCGTCCTCCGCAGGAACGAGGAAGGCGGCGGGGCCGCACGAAACGCGCGCTTTTGGTGCTGGCAGCTCAGGGGGCTCTTGCGCTGAGGCGCTTCTACTTGATGCGGTTTGAAACGGCTGCTGCGTGGTGAAGCGGTACTTCGCCGCGCCGTGAATGGCCGTGGAATAGCGTGGAGTGGAAGGGACTTTGAGGCCCGCTCTAGTTCCGATTACTGTAGAAGCTCAACCGGCAGCGTTTGGAAGGGCCATCCCGGGCAGTGATGGCAGCCAAAAGCAGTTCAGTGTCAGCGCTGTTTGGGAAAGCGGCAGCCCTTGGCAGCACACGGGTGGTCTCCATGCCGGAGCAGGGCATCCCAGTGTGCCGAGGGAACAGCTTCCTGCTGATGCCGCAGAACCGTAGAATGGCTTGGGTTGGAAGGTGTCTCAGAGATCATCAAGTTCCAGTCCCGCTGCTGCCGGGAAGGCTGCCAGCCCTAGACCAAGTACTAGACCAGGTTGCTCAGCACCTCACCCAACCTGGCCTTAAACACCTCCAGGGATAGGCCACCGACAACCTCTCTGAGCAACCTGTGCCAGCACCTCACCACTCTCTTAGTGAAAATCTTTCCTAATCTAATCTACATCTCCTCTCCTTTCCTTTAAAACCATTCCCCCTTGTCCTATCACAATCTACCCACGTTGATTTCCCTCACGTTTATAATCTCCCTTTAAATACTGGAAGGATGCAATGAGGTCTCCTTCCAGCCATCTCCAGGCTGGACAAGCCCAGCTCCTTCAGCCTGTCTTCACTGGAGAGGTGCTCCACCCCTCTGAGCATCTTTGTGGCCCTCCTGTGGACCCTCTCTAAAGCACCCCTCCTGTGCTATGGCCTCCTGTGGGGCCATAGTCCTGGAAACAGTACTCGAGTGGGACTTCATGAGGGCAGAGTAGAGGGAGACGATCCCCTCCCTCTCCCTGCTGGCCATCCCTCTTCTGATGCAGTCCAGGATACCGTTGGCATTCCAGGCTGCAAGCCCACACTGCTGGCTCATCTTAAGTTTTTCCATCTACCAGGACCCCTAAGTCCTCAGCAGAGCTACTCTCAAGGATTTCTTCTCCCAGTTAGTATACATTCCTGGGATTACCTTGACCCGAGTGCAAAACCTTGCACTTTGCTTTGTTGAGCCTCATTACATTCACATGGGCCCAACTTCTGAGTTTATCAAGGTTCTTCTGTATGGCATTCCTTTCTTCTGCTGCATCAACTGTATCACTCAGCTCAGTGCCATCAGCAAACTTGTCCCTACATTCTTTTGGACCAGAGTTATAAAAAAATATAAACCATTTTTATATTGACATTAATAAAATTATTCACTCTTGTCAGCTCCTTTACTGCTCCTCCTACCATGGCCCCACAGCTGCAGCACATCTCACCACACCATCTCGAGATCACTGATTCAGTATTTACAAGCATCACATTTTGCTTATTGATCACACACATACCCAAAAGGCAAATGCAAATAAACATGATGAAAAAATTCTAAATTTGAGCAATTAACTGGCTCAGCATTTCCTGAAAGTGTGGAATGACAGAATACATGTAATGTATAGTGCTCGTCACTTCCCACACAAGCCTGACTTGCACACCCACTTTCTAAATGAAAGAGCTTGTTGCAGATTAACAAATAGTGAGGATCCTGCACCAAATCTCATTTTGTACAAGTACTCTCATATTCTCCATAGAACAGAACTGCTCTTGTAACCAATGAGAAATGTTTTGACTTTTTTAGCAAGTGACCCAATTCATGCTTGTATTACCAAGGCATGTCCACAGAGCTGTGTCAGCAAGGATTGTAAGACACATCCCTATCAAAAACACGTGTAGAAGCAAAACTCTTTTCGTGCTGTTATTGCCAGTTACCAAAAAACTGCTTTTAGACTTCTGTCAGGGAAGCACAAGGAGCAGCAGAACTAACTTGGCAGATAAATCACTCCCATACAGGCCCTGCCGAAGTCCTTACGCCAGCAGAAACTGTGTGTGGTTCAAGCGTTCTTAAATAGACTAGTTCAGACAGCTGAACTAGATTTTGTCAAAGGATTTATTAATGCAACACCCTTCATTTGACATTCTACTCTGCTCTTGTGAGGCCCCATCTGGAGTACTGTGTCCAGGTCTGGAGCCCCCAGTACAAGAAAGACAGGGAGCTACTGGAGAGGGTCCAGAGGAGGGCCACAAAGGTGATCAGGGGACTGGAGCCCCTCCCCTACGAAGGCAGGCTGAGGGAGCTGGGTTTGTTCAGAAGGCTGTGGGGTGACCTCACTGCAGCCTTTCAGTACCTAAAGGGAGCCTACAAACAGGA